CATAAACCCAGCCAATTCCCCCTTCCCCCAGCCCCAAAATTCCCAGACAGGCTTCCTTCTCCTCTCGCTTTGCTGTTATGAATAAATCAACCCATGAGCGTTTAATCTCCCACTCCAGACACTTCGCTTTTCATACTTTCCAGCAGCTAAAATATTTCCCTGACGCTAATGTAATCCAAAAAGGCGTGCGGGAGACGGGAGGGGGTGGCATCGTCATCCCGAACCGCTGCTAAGCTCCTCGGAGGGAGCCTGGCAAATTCGCTTCGGGAGCTAAAACCCTGGTGGGTGACGGCAGCGAGGGGATGCAGCAGCACAGACAAGTCCCCAAACCAGAGTGGCTCCAGGGTGGGGGGCACAGCATGGCTTTGGGGTCCCCGAGGTGCCACCACCCTCTGCCCATGTGCACCTCACGAGGTCTGGGGACACAGGGACCCCCAAAGCCCCGCGGCAGCGGGCAGCTTTCGGGGAAAGGGTTAAGAGAAGAAAGAGAAAGGAGAAGCCAAGGAATTTCGTGACCTAATTTGAAAAGGGGGGGGGTGGGGTGGCAGCACCAGGGTTGTCATGGAAATAAATGGCAAAAAAAGTTCCCGAGGATGATGGTGGAGTTTGGGTTCCCAAGAGGAGGCAGAGAGATGCTCCGCAGGGCTCAGCATCCTTCTCCCAGCAGCAACCCATAGCTCAGCTGGAGGCTGGCTGTCCCGGGGAGGGACAGCAAACAGGGTCCCCACCTCGGCTTCCCCAGGGTGTCCTGCTGGTCCCAAATCTTCCAGAAGACAAAACACTTTACATGGAGCGACGGACAGGCAGCTGCACGAGAGGACGCAGCGGCACAACAAACGAGGGGTCACAGGCTCTGCAGCCACCCCAGCTATTCGACACGAGCTGAATCCAAAAGGTAAAAACCTAAATCACAGCCTGGGGGGGCAAACGGGAAGCTTGAGGAGGGGGCTGCTGCCCCCAGCTCTGCCATCGCCGCCAGGCAGGGGCTCAAAGCCAGCCCTCACCTCAGCCAGGGCTCCCCCGCTCCCAGCAACATCACATCCCACCGGGACAGTCTGAAACAGAGAGGATCTGTCCCAAAGTGCAGCAATTCCAGCAGCACTCAGGAACCAGTCCCAGCATCGCTCCCGTCTGCCATGAGGAGGGGGCTGCTGCCCCCAGCTCTGCCATCGCCGCCAGGCAGGGGCTCAAAGCCAGCCCTCACCTCAGCCAGGGCTCCCCCGCTCCCAGCAACATCACATCCCACCGGGACAGTCTGAAACAGAGAGGATCTGTCCCAAAGTGCAGCAATTCCAGCAGCACTCAGGAACCAGTCCCAGCATCGCTCCCGTCTGCCAGGCACCAGCATCCTGGCCGGCTGCGGGGGGGCACGGGACACCCCCGAGGGATGCTCAAGGCATCAAGGCTGGGGCGAGGGGAGAAGGGGTGGGCAGGAGAGCGGCTGGGGGGGCGCAGGTTTTTTCGGGGGAAGGAGCCGCCGGTTTTCCTCGCCAGGGAGCTCGGTAACAGGTCTGCGTTCACGGGCAAGGGAAGATAAAACGGCGGAAGCGTGTTGCTTTTATTACCTGAGAAAATTGAAGCGAGTCTGAATATATCAGAGAGACGAGAGGTGACCGGCTCGTAGGGGGAAGCTTCATAAAATTCTTCTCCTAGAGCAGGAGGGAAGAAAGAGAAAGGGGAGAAAAAGCAAATTAAAAACCACAGCAAATAACTTCAGCCACCGCCGAGGCTACGGCCGGGCGCGGGCACCTTCCCGGCGTGGCGATCTGCGATTTGGGGAGGGAAACCCAAAAAGCATGGAAAGCCCTTGCAACAAAAGGAAAAGCCCATTTTGGAGCAGCTCAGCTGAATTCCTGCAGGCTGGGAGCTCACGGAGTGGCGGG